TTAGTGCTCCCAACAACAACCGGCATAGGTGTGAAATGAACGTTATACATGTTTTTTGTTTTGCCCATGTTCATCTTAAGACCTATCCGTTGGGAGTCACTATTGAGGTTATTGAGCATAGCGCTTAGGTCCTCCAGCGATTTTCCATAAGGACTATATCGTCGGAAAATCAAAGGTGAGTGATGTACTCGCTGTTGATGTTAATACCGTATCCTTTCTAGTCCAAAAGCTTGGAAACATCTTCCAACGCAGCGGTGAAGAGTTTCGGGGATATAAACTCACCCTGTCTTACATTTCTCTGCAATTGGATAGGTTTCGTACTCTAGTTCTGTACTTGGATAGCCATTGTAGCCCTACTGTCCAAGCACTTCAGCACTTCGATATACCGACAGTCAACTTGGCACCGCTAAAAGGATTGCAGCACCGCCCAAATTTCGACGGAATCAAAGGCTTTCTCATAGTCCACATATGTTAGATATAGTGGCAAATTGTACTCCTTGGACTTCTGTACAATTTGCCGTAGGGTATGTATGTAGTCTATGGTGCTAAAGCCTTTTCGGAAACCGGCTTGTTCGGGAGGCTGGAAGTCGTCTAAACTGCATGCGAGACGATTCGTCCTGACTCTTGAAAACAGCACGTAGACGCGGATCAGAAGGGATATAGGTCTGTAGTTCTTTAAGAGAGCGTTGTCGCCTTTCTTGAAGAACAAAATCACCGTACTTCTACTCCATGCCTCCGGAGTAGTACCTCCATGAAGGACGGAATTAAAGAGCTTCTGACGGAGTTTAAGTACCGGTTTTCCACCCGCTTTCAGAAGCTCAGCTGTAATTCCGTCCTCGCCCGGGGACTTGCCGTTTTTTAGGTGTTGGAGAGCCATTTTAATCTCGCTCAGATTGTCGACCGGGATATCTTCGGAATAGTGTCGGTTAAGACTTGCTCTTGGATCGTTACTCACAACTGCGTGTGGCTCCAACGATGATGTGTACAGCTGCCCATAGAACCTCCCAATCTCACTCAAAATTTCAGGTATCTCGGAATCGACGCTGCCACACTCGGCCTTCAGCTTCGACAGTTGGCACTTTCTGGCAAACAGATCTCTAGCAAAGACTTTGGATTCCAGGTTCCACTCGATCGCTTCTTCAATACGAGCAGTATTAAAGTTGTTATTTCTAATCACACCACACTTTTAACACGTAGCCCTATGGGTTAATTATTCTAATCCATTGGGCTACGTGTTACTCTGTTTTTATTTCTAGTGGTGGGATAAAATAAGGTTATTCTATTAATTAAATCCTTTAAGTACTGATTATGAAGAAATATACTATTTATATGTAAGCAATTTGGATAAAACATATAAATATAGTTTAACAAGCTCTCATTTTAATAGTAAATGTCATATACTTAATTAAAATTGTAAAAAGTCTCATAATTAAGACAGGCGGGGAATTTTATAATATAAATCAACTTTGGTTTGTGGATCTTTTTTATAACGAATAAGTATTATAAACAAATACCTCGGTGACCGGGATTTGCTCGGCATTAGAATAAAAAATATTTTTTTCAGGGATAAAGTCTATTTAGAAAAACTTACTAACTGATAAGGCCTAGCTAAGTGAAAATCGAAAATAAAATCAGAAATATCTGATTTGGTGTACAGATTTTAATAAGAATCATTAGTTTAGTACAGTTTCTATAAAGTATGAACGAATAATTTGCATTTGCCGTAAAGAAAAACAAAATTATACATTTCTAAAAACCTTATTTTACTATGGTAGGATAATAAGGCCTACTGCTTTAAAATTGAACTCAAATAATCATATCATGCGTAATATATTCAATATTAGTGATCAATAAAATATATATATAAATTGCCTCGCCTAACAGTATTTAGTCATTAGTACAATGATGAACAAATAACAAGCAAACTCACTCTTCGTAATTATCATCAGTGCGTCGGTTGTGTCTGGAGTAGAGTGTTAGGTTGAGTTGAGGATTGGATTTATTATTGGGTTGAGTGTCTTCCCAACCAAATTTCTGTAACAGCGGCTAGTGTCAACGGAGACTAGCCCATTTGCACAGTACAGAATTATAGTATGCGAATGTATGCGCAAACACAGGTGCACTCTTTATTCCCTCACAATCATCAAACCTCAATCCGACGCGGTCCAAGAGAACTTAGGCGCAGGACCAATAATTTACACATAATTTAATAGCCTTCTAATGTCAAAGCCTTAATTCTTAGACACACTGTTTCTTTGCACTGTTTGGACAGCTGAAACCAGGCCTTTATATGACTATGACATTAGTTTAATAATAAAAGCGTACGATTCATTTGCATTTATAATATTATATAAGTGATATAAAATTCATAATAAAACAAAAAAACTGAATTTTATTTTTCAAGGCCAGCCCTCACTAAGCTATTCAAAGCTACGCGTATTACATAAACTTTTCTTATTGTATGATGGGTGCTAGAAACGTGGTTCTACTGATAAGCATAGTGTTGCGCAAGCCGCTAGGTGGCGGGGCTTGGTGTTACATTTAGGGAGTCCATGGTTGCAGGTGGGCAAGAACGTGTTTATGACAATCTATGGGGAATATATTATATATATTTTCCTATATTCAGCGAAGCACGAGTGATGAGCTGTAATGATGATAATAATAATGCCGAAATAAACTATTAAGATAAACCACGTCAAAATTTATAAATATTATATAAGCTTCAAACAATTCGATGCATAATTAAAACTACGTATTGTACAGTCATTTAATGTTCACAATAACATGCGCTATTCGCTTAACTTTGTTGGCTACGTTTCAACTTGAATAATACTGCTCACCAAACTCAACTAATTTTACTACTTGTAGTTCAATTTCTGCATATGAAATGAGAGTAAAATTTGATTGTTTGAGTATATATAACTTGGAAACTAATTTAACTTTTTTAATATTGGATAGATTTTTAATAATATTAAATATACAGGGTTATTTTGCAATAATCGGCCAAATTAGCAGAGAAGGTTCAAAATAAGTATCATCATCATTACAGGCCTCCCCCAAGGAATGCCACAAAACACGGTCCAGACTCCAGAGCCACCTGCATCCGTCGAGCTCCTCTGTGTAGTGTGTTTTTCGTGGTCGTGCACCACAAATTTTAGCAAGCGGCAGCAGAGCAACAGCTGGTTTTTCACCACCAGCCACTGAGCAACAGGTGTAAGAAATAACAATGCCGTCAACAGCATATATATATATATATAATAAAAATTCAATAATCTGTCCTTTTTATCTTTTAAATTCAAAATGCATTATTTTGCGACGAACGTATGCGTTTGGATTGCGATTCGTAAGGATCGATCGGTCGGCGGTTGGTTGTGAATTGTATCGCACGCAGAGGAGCACGCGTACGTATAAAACACAATCAATTTGGGATAATTTCAAGTAAAATTAGAAGCCTTATTTACTCGTATTTTTTAAAAACTGCAATAATGGTATATTAAATTTGAACTTTAGTCTAAAATATGGCTACGCTTTAAAAAATAACCCTCTATATAAGTAAAGTTTCAAATAAAAAGTAAATGACTTATCACTCTAATAAGGTCGTCTGTTCGATACGTGTCTCCTCTTGTTACTTAGGGGAGTCGAAGTGTGAGACAGAGTCGCTGTTGACATGCCATATCATTTAATAATTTCTGTTTTAGTTTTTTTTTTTTTTACTATTATAAGTAGGTCAAAATCATGGAGGGAGTATGAGAGGCCTTTGAAATTGAAGAACATTGTTCAACAACTATGGGAGAATATTTTAAGCCTTGTACCGCTTGTGTTAGAGCTGTTTTAGACTGAGTAGAACGATCATTTCGTTATCTATGCCATACTTTATCTTAAACTCTAAAAAAGCTGCTGATTTAATTTATTTACGATATTTTTTAGTGTATAAACATTTTTCTGCCGACTTCCAAAAGGGAGACGGTACTCAATTCGACTGTATGTTTTTTTTATGTGTGTTAGTTACCTCATAACTTTTTACTGGGTGAACCGATTTCGATGATTCTTTTTTTATTTAAAAGCTGGTACTTCCCGTGTGAATTTTATCAGACCAATAGTTTTTGAGTTATTCTTAATAAATTATATTGAAGTCGGCTGTACAAAATTTTTAATTTTAAATTATTAAAGAAGTGCGATTTGATAACTCGATGAAACGAAAAAGTGACACTAAAAGGAGACAAACAAAATAAACCTATATTAGCTGTTCCCCGCGATTTCGCCCGTGTGTAATTTATTACGATTGGATTTCATGGGTTTTAATTTTTTTTTGCGCGGAACCCTAATTATTTTTCTAAAATAAAAGTATCCTAAATTACTCCTTATAATATTAGTTATTTGCCAGTGAAAGTCTCGTCAAAATCGGTTCAGCCGTTTCGGAGATTAGCCGGAACAAACAGACAGACAAACAGACAGACAGACAGAAAGACAGGCAAAATTTTTAAAAATTGTGTTTTACTTATAAGTACCATACGAGTATGTACTTTCATATGAATTTAGTAAAAAGCTGTTATTTTGATATTACATGACAGGACACTTCAAATTTATTTATTTGTATAGATTTATAGGATTTAGCCTGCGAGAAAAAGAGATAGAATACAGTGTACAGTGTTTCTTATTATCTATTATATACTTTGGTTACTCGTGTCATTTATTGAAATTGAAAATTTGGAGACTTTATAATATGTAATGTACGTAATATATTATGAAGAATAAAATAAATAAAGCCTACAATTACCTTACTCTGCATTCGTTAAAATTCGTTGTTTAGTTAACTGAAGGTTTGACTTCTACCGCGTGTGATCCGCACTTATGTTTATATTGTATTTTCATTGCTTAATACACTGAAATAATTGTAACTAATAATGCTAGTAGCAACACAAGTACAACACTTTGTCTATATATGTTACATGTAAATTATTTTCCTTAACTTATATCACACATGGTTCGAACGAATATCGATGCTGGTGATTCTGTTGAACTGTGTGACACTGGGAATGTATCAACCATGCGTGGACGATCAGTGTGTTACAAACAGATGCAAAATATTACAGGTAACGTAACCTACGTTAACATAGTTAATTTTTTAATCATCTAAATATGTCCTATAACCTATTATAGCCTATAAAGTACACTACTGAACATTAGCATACCCATAGATTGCCTCATAGGTGGGATTTTGCCTGGATTTTGCCAGGGTTAGCAACCGCAGTTTTTATAATTCTGAGTTATTATCAGGAAGATGTTGCTGCCCGTTCCCTGTTACAGTTTATCTCTGTCGCCTCTTACGGTACCTACGGGACGTTATAGGATAGTGGATATTCTTACACACCACTACTCGGTTCTAATTTAAATATTTAAGATTAATTAAAAAGGAAGTTGTGATCTGCTATTAAAAAGCAAGTTGCGATCGTTTTTATCGAGCAAATATATTTCAAAGCTTCAAATTACCATCAGAAGGTACTAATTGCTCAAAATGGAATCGGAATACCAGACGTTCTGCAGGTTACCATCCACACTTGGTTGATATTCTGAATATTCGCGCTAAGCGCTATAAGTTATCTTTCAAATGGAATGCCCTGCCGGAGTCTGTTTTTCCGAGTGCATATAACTATAACCTCTTCAAGGTGCGTATTAAGAGGCTTGTCCTGGGCAAACTCACTCCATAGTAGACCTCATCTTTACCCTCGGACCAGATAGAGATCAAGAGTGAGCCTTGTTTAATAATAAAAAAATGTGTATTTACTAGGTCTCAAACTACCTTTGCTGCCTAAGCTTCCGTCTGGGATTGGAAGCAACCATTATTTGACCTATTTCAGTCGCCTAACATGAGTGTAATCACGTCTATATTTCAGTTTGAAAGATAAGAGATCCAGCCTATTTACAGCCTGTGTGGCATTCCATTATGTCCTTAAGTAATTAAAACGTATTTGTTGTCTTCTATATTTTAAGTAGGTTGAGATCCTATAGCCGGATTTAAGAACCTCTTACCATCTAATTGACTGTAGCTTCGTTTGTCTCTCCAATATTATAAAAAATGTCTTCATTTGAGCGCGTAGAAAGTATTTAATCACTTTATAATATAAGTATATATATCAGAATTCGTATACGAAAAAATTAGAGAAAGGAAGATTATGTCGAGCGATGGCTCGCGAGTCGACTTACGTGGCTCCGACAGAATGTCAGCGCCGCGGTTACTTTGTTACTGTAGCATTATGCTGAGTCTGTGGTCTTTTTGTTGTTGAAATCCATTTTTTTTTTAATATTTTGTTAAGCTTTTTTTGTTTCTAAAATAACGTTATAAATTATTATGTATAATTGAATAAATATGTTCTTTCTTTCTTTCAAAGGATTGCTGATAGATACTGTCCAAGTTACAGGATATACAAAATCTAAAAAAAAATATGTTAGATGACATTCTAATTTTATTAAGTTATGTCCAAAGCTTAGCTGATGTAATCTTGAAATATAACTCGAAACTTTGATTCGATTCTTAAATAATGTTTATCTAGAAAAAAGATTTTGTAAGTTAGCTTCCTGAGCATAATATGAAATCTCTAACTACAAATTTGTTAAGTTTCAAATAAATTTATTAAAAAAAAATTATATATTTACTCAGAAAGCCTACGCTTTATTTATTTTCTTCAACTAAATACATTAAAAGTACATTTCCTTTTTAGGTCTTTGACGATATTATATTCGCGTTTTTTACGCTAGAAATGACAATTAAAATGGTTGCAATGGGTGTTTATGGTCACGGCACCTACCTTGCTGACTCTTGGAATCGACTAGACTTTTTCATTGTCATGGCAGGGTAAGTTGATTTCATTTTTAAATTTTATAATATCAAACTGAAAACATGGTTAAGAAAGCTGTAGTGATGCGGTTGATTAGTATAGGAAAGGACTAACCGCTCAGACAGATTGCCAAATACCTACGTACGCATGTCTGCCTCGCACCCGTGAGGAAAAGGGCGGTTACGTCGGACAAGCACTGATTGGCTGACAAAGAACAGTAACAATGTGTGTACGAAAGCCTTCCCTGCCATAGCAGTGGATCTAGTCTATGGCTCTGTTGCCGAGGAGCGATAAGAAAATCGACGCATTTAATTACCGACTCTTCTCCACCTCTGCGGCCTTAGAACCAAAGTATCAGCGACGAGGGCGTGTGCGCCTTGGCATACCAACTCTCCTCCCTTACAGCTTATCAACACGCTTCCGGAGTGAGCGCGCCAAGATCCCCGCAGCAGATTCCTCATGCCTGCTGACAGGGTTTCACCGTGTTCAACGTGGGTAACCAAGTCACTGCTACTAAGTCACCTCCCGCCGCCACGCATAGGCGGGAAACCGTTGGAAGGGATAGTTTGCAAACCCTACAGTATATCTTATCAATATTATTCGTAGACAATTTCTAATTAAGAAAAAAAAAACAAATAACTTAACAGCACAAAATATTATTAATTTTAGACAGTAAAAAATAATGTTAATTTTTAGTACAATTGTGATAAAAATCAGAATAGAATTCTAATGGATGGTATTTGTGGCCTGTCCGCCTCATATTTAATATTTTATTCTATTTCAGAGCTGTAGAATATACATTAAATGTGGAAAATATCAATTTTTCGGCAATAAGGACAATCCGAGTATTACGACCTCTAAGAGCCATCAACCGGATACCGAGTAAGTATTATGAAATCATTCTGTTATTAAATTCGTATTAAAAAGGGAAAGCATTATATCAAACCACAAAGTAATATCCTAAAAGAACTTAATCTATGTTTATTTATTTATATTTTTACAAAGAAATCTCAAGCTTAAGTATCAAAGCTAATCCGACATTTTATAACATTATAACGTAAGTCGTTGAACCAATAAACGTATAATAAAGTAAATTTACCATTAAAAAGGCTCGTATCTGTGGAGTACTTTTAGAAATTAACCCGGAGCGGGAATCCAGAGCGAGCGTGGGGTGAAAATCGATCGGCAAGCAACAAGTAAGCCCGGCCGCAGCCTCCAACAAACACACAGCCACCCCTACCTTTCGGCGACATTTTGAGAAAATTGATTCGAGAGTTTTAACAGAACCAATATTGAAATCTGATCTTAATTCAAAGTTAAAAACGTTGTACAAAATACCGTTCCGGTGTAACTAATTGTTTTTTAATAATCCTAACATACATTTCTATACGATTAAAAATTACTATTCCGATGTTGCTAAATTATTAATTATTTACCTACCCTGTAGATTCCCCATATGGCGGATATTTGACACAGTTGCCACGGCAGACGGTTTGGCCACCGCATTTTATTCTCCTATTTTATTTTCCTTTATCACCTCTTACAATGTCCACGGAAAGTATAATAAATTAAAAAAAAAATCATTTTAATTGGTTCACAATTGGCAAAGATATCTTTTTTGTAATGTTACCTCCACACTAGGAATTTCTCCTGTATCATAGGGGCTGTTTCTATATACTGACAGTGTTGCTGACAGTTTATATACATAAATTACGCAAGGAGAAACATCCACATCTATAATAATTGTTTGTAGGCCATACAAATTCTTGTTCAGCGCGGGATTCGAACCCACGCCGCGGCGCTTAGCGCTGCAACTCATTGCTAAGCCACTGCGCCACGGAGATGTCATATCGCGTAGCATATATAGAAAAAAAAATGGTCGAATTGATAACCAACTTCTTTAAATTCGGCTAGAAATCGGAATTGTTCATCATCAAAATAATTTCAAATTTATTCCGTCCCTGACAATCCAAAAATTAAATTTTGCCGGTTCTAATATTAAATCGCGCACATATACAAAAGACAGCTGCGCTCAAAAGTTTCATCAAAATCCCGACAGGGACTCGTAAATAACACGAAAATGCAAGCACTATAAATTAAATTGCGCCATACGCTTTGCGGTTAGGAATACGTCTGTACTAATTTGGTCTACTGCAATTTATTGCTTCATATTTTCTAGTATTTCATTACATGCATTTTCAATTTGATTACGCGACATTTTTAAAGCTCATCCGTCACAATTTTATATTATGTTAAAATATAAAAACAAAAAAAATATGCGTGAGTGTCGTGGAACACTCGGTTGGAACGAAGTTCCTTTTGTAATATATTATTATTGATAAACGTATTATATTATTGATTAATAAATACAAACGAATGAAATACTAGCGTCTATTAAAATAAAAAGTTATTTAAAAAAATATTTCTTTCATGGCAAGATAAGAAAAAGTGCGACGGAGATAGATATTATTCCAATTTGCTTCCTTATAGCTGCCAAGGCCGTCTTTACTACGTCAGAAGGGGTCGTGACGAAAAAAATCTTACACTTTTTGTCGCCTAGCCTCCATCCGTCAATTCCGTACCGTCCGATAAAGAACTTCGTTCCAAAATCAGCTACACATCGTTATTAATTGTAACGAAAAATATCCTATTATATATAATAGTTACATTTTATTGCGATTCGAAGTTTGAAATGTGGTAAGGCTGCGGGACTAGACAGAGTTACTGCTGAAATGGTCAAGTATGGTGGGCCTCGCGTCTGGGACAGCTTTCATCTGCTGTGCAATTTGTGCTGGCGGACAGAGGATGTCCCGGATGATTGGCGATCCGCAGTCATTGTGCCTTTATATAAAGGTAAAGGTTCACATTTTGACTGCGGGTGCTAGGACATGACCTGTCACCCATGTTTAACGTCCAAACGGGCGTAAAGCAGGGTTGTGTCATGTCTTCCTGGCTGTTCATACTGTATCTCGACAGCTGTTTACAGAAGCTGAAAGATAGTTGTTTGGGTGTGAAATTGGGTGACATTAAAGTAAATTGTCTGCTGTATGCTGATGATGCAGTGCTTATTGCACCATCAGAGGCAGAACTGCAGGCATTAGTCACGTGTATGAAAGAGGAATGTGAAATTAAAGGTCTCCGTTTGAATGCTAATAAAACTAAGGTTCTGGTATTTGAAAGGGACGAAGAGAGAACGAAGTGTGAAATATGGGTAAATCAGGAATGTCTAGAACAGGTAAATGAAATTGTATACTTGGGGAGTACTTTTAGCCGGGATGGAAGATGTGATTTAGATGTGGACAGGCGTGTCGCTGCCGGGAACAAAGTCAATGGTGCCCTGACTGCGTTAGTCAAAAGGCAAGGCGTAGCGAAGAGTGCATGCCTTGCAATACATAACGCAGTGTTGGTACCGACTTTGTTATATGGCAGCGAAACCTGGGTATGCCAGAAGAAGCATAAAAGTAAGTTGAATGCAGTGGAGATGCGATCTCTTCGTAAAATGTGCGGCGTTACCATGGCCGACCGAAAGCGAAACGAAGAGATTCGCAATATAGCAGGTTTGAAAGATGACGTTATCACAAAAATTGATAAGGGCGTGCTTCGGTGGTTTGGGCACGTTGAGCGAATGAGTGAAGACCGAATGGTGAAGAAAATATATAGCGCGAAAGTTAATATTAAAAGGTGTCGAGGTAGACCGAGACTAACTTTCGAAGACCATGTGAGCAAATTGCTCGAAGAGGGTAGGGTCAAAAGTACTCGGATACCTAGACGTGCATGCATGAAGAAGATAATGAATCTGAAAGAAGCGAAAGAGGTTTGTAAGGATCGTGACACTTGGCGATCTGTTCTCTCTGGCTACCCCGTCAGGGATTGTGCGTGAAGATAAGTAAGTATTTTCTTTATTTCGAAAAAAGCATTTTAGGTACCAAGACCTCTTTTCTCAAGAAAAGGGAAGGTATCAAGTTGAAATGAATATCAAATACCAAGGCCTCCGGTTCCTTACAGGAATAAAAATAGTAAATGCAATCAAAATATACGGTCATATGGTGTCACATTTTTTCATACTCGCAAACTCAACAAAACCTGAAATGAATTCCCACTTTATTTATAATTAAAAATTGTAAAGTAAAAATAGCCAAAAGAACTCTGAAGAAGTTTTTAATCAAATAACTAGGTGGTGGGTATAGTATGTACATTTATGTTATGTGTATATACTATAGTATATTATATTATACTATATTATTATAGGTTATACTATGGCTTACGTGGTAGAGCCATGCTGCAGCTTAATGCTGCTGTGTTTCGTATGTTGAGTGTAAAGAACCGGACATCCTTTTTACTGGAAATGAGGCATTCTATCTTAGTCCTCACGGCTGACAACGCATATGTATTTTAATTCGCAAACGAAGAAAGATGTAGATGTCTATGCTCCACAGCAACCACTTACCATCAGGTGGACTGTGTGCTCGTTTGTCACCCTTATTCTATAAAAAAAGGTTATATATACTAGTATATTAAATAATAATATAATTTACTTTATATTGCATGATTTGATATGTTCAAAACTACTGATTTCTCGGATATTAATACATTTATTAATATAGTGACTTGTTAATATATCTATAAAGAAGACAATCGTTTTTGGGTTTACTAGAAACTTTAATGTAACTTAATTTTAAATGAATCTGTAATCATAATAATGAATGAAAATGTAATCGGAATCATAAAATCTGAAAAAAAACTTCTTTTAATATTCGTGAATTGGCTAGTGTAATATGAAAAAAAAATGCCTATAAACAAGAACGAACTACTAAAAAAAATTTCCATCAACATTAAAGTACCTATAATTTTTTTATAGGAGAGGGTGCAAACGAGCATGAGGCTCACCAGATGGTAAGTGACTACTGTCGCCCATAAACAACTGCAACACCAGGGGAATTGCAGTTGCGTTGCCGGCCTTTTAAAAAGGAGAAGGCTCTTTTCTTGAAGGTCCCTAAGTCGTATCGGTCCGGAAAAATCTCTGGGGTAATCGATTCCACAAGGAAGTTGTGTGAGGAAGAAAACTTCTTCTAAATCGCACATTGGTGGACCGCCAATCATCCAGATGGTATGGATGTTATCGCGAGTTTTGTCGCTATGTGCGGTGGTCAAATTGAGCGGCTGGAATTAGTCTGAACAATTCCTCAGAGTACTCCCCGTGGTAAGTGCGATAAAATACGCAGAAATGCAACATTCAACATTGAGTGAAACCGATCAGAAAGAACTCGGTCGTCGACGATTTGTACCGCTTTGCGCTGGATGCGGTCAAGGTCAAGAAGGAGCTGGCACTGGGGACTCCTTGCCCAAAGATGGGAACAGTATTCCATGTGGGGCCGAAACTGCGCCTTGTAAAGTTGCAAGCAGTGTGTCGGCATGAAATACTGTCCCGCGCTACTGAGCACTCCAAGCCAATTTGGTCTTCCCTTCCAAGTGACCACGAAACTGCACAACACTCAATATGTCGACACCGAGGATTCCTATACTGGCTGAGGCAACAAGGGGAGTGCCTTGAAACTGAGGAAATACGACAAAGGGGTTCTTTTAAGCGGTAAACACACAAATTTTTGCCTTCTGGTGATTGAACTGGACCAGATTTAGTGGCCCCCAGTCCGAGACTTTAGAATTTTAGTCTCGACACAAATTTATTCCGGTACGATCTGCAAGAATTTCTGAAAGAATGTCACAATTTCTCGTGAAGCCCATAGGAAGAAAACTTCGAAAGAAATGCTTTGTGCCGAACCCAATCGAAAGCCTTCGCTATATCCAAACTAACGGCCAATACATCAGTTTGGTTACCTAGAAGATCACCAGCCAAGTGACCGCAACGGAAACCGTACTGGCGGTCACTAATCAGCTGGTGATCCTCAAGGTACCGCATGAGCTGGCAGTTAATAATAGTTTCCATTACTTTGGAGAACAAGGAGGTGATAGCGATATGCCTGTAGTTGAACGGATCTGACCAGTCACCTTTTTTAGGGATCGAGTGCACCAAAGCTGTATTCCATGCGTTCGGGACTACGCCTAGGGAGTAGGAATACCGGGAAAGACGCGTTAAAATCGGTGCCAGCTCCGGAGCACACTTCTTCAGCACAGTAGGTGGGACTCCATCAGACCCACTCGACTTGTTGACGGCCAGGTAGAGGAGTGCTTTACGCACCGGTCGATGATGTGTTCCCCCCGTCATCGAGAGTCGAGTTGGAAGCAAAAAGAGAGCCTAACAGATCGGCTTTTTCCTTTGCGTCATGAGCCGGTGAGTCATTCAACCTGTACAGAGATGGCAGAGATGGCTGATAAGAGTTTCCTTGGACAGCCTTGGCGAGAGACCAGAATGTACGTGTTCCCGGAGGAAGACGAACTAGTTTCTCGCCAATTCTGCCGATGTGCTCTGACTTTACCTTGGCAATGACATTTTTGAAGGACCTGGAGGCGAAATTATACTTCTTTTTAAGGGCGCTGGTGTTTACACTCCAGTACCACTCCTGCTTATAGCATGATGCAATTTTGAATTTCTAAATGTACCTACAACTTTCTTTAATACTATTAACTAGATGGCCAGGCACTTTGTTCTGCTCCCTCCGACGACCCTTTGTCCTTTAAAATTTTTAAAATTGCGATAAAAAGATATTGATGGCCACTTATCGGGATAAAAACTATCCTATCTCTCAAGTTGGAGCAAGCAATACACATTTACAAAATTTCATTAAAATCGGTTGAATGGTTTCAGAGTTCATCGCGGACAAACAATGTGACACGTAATTTTTATATATAAATATTATTGACCAGTACACTATTTTAACTGATAATACCGGTGAAAACTACTAGACAATCGCTTTTAGTTTGTTTTTAAGTTATTGTGATATTCATATTTTAATTTTTAATTTGTCAGTATTCCCGTTAGTTGTGGTTAAACTAATATTAATTACTATTGTAATCTATTGGTTATAAAGAATAAATCGAAATGTGTTTCATTAAGTTACACCTGGTTACGATGGTGGCCCTATTCTCAATACAAAAAGAAATTGGCTCCTTAAAACTAGTACCAATAATATTTTATTGTTGATAGACCATCAGCAATTAAACCGTGTGTGGTCTCTTTTTTTTTATAGAATTAGGGTGACAAACGAGCACACAGTTCACCTGATGGTAAGTGGTTGCTGTGGTCCATAGACATCTACATCTATCTTCGTTTGCGAATTAAAATGCAGATGCGTTGTCAGCCGTGAGGACTAAAATAGAATGCCTCTTTTCTAGCAAAAAGGGTCTCCGGTAGAGAACACTCACCATACGAAACACAGCAGCGTTAAGCTGCTATTTTACGCTGGTATTCTGTGAGAGCGTGGTCCTACCCCGGTCGAGCAAACCCATTCGTGCTACTCGTACAACTATACCATTAATACAGCTGCAGCATGGCTCTACCACGTATAAAAAAAGTTAATGCTGAAGGGCTAAAAATTTTCGTTTTTTGTATTACTTTTATAGTGTTATTGACCTTCAAATCATAAAGTAAAGCAAATTACAGCCTATATATGTACCACTAATGGGCACAGAACTCCTCCATTTTATGAGGGGGTTTTAGGGCAAGTAAACGTCCACAGCGCTGCCCCAATTCGTGTCGACGAAATTAATTGTGAAATTATTTTTTTTATTTCTAACACATGCAGGTTTCCTCACGATGTTTTGCCTCACTGTGGAGCACGTGATAAATCAGCAATTAAAATTGCAATAATTTTTTTTTGATTCATTGGTGCCCGCGGGAATCGAACCCGGGTTATTCGCGTACTGTGGAATAATTTACACCGAGCGCTTAGCCTCTAATCTATATCATGGCTACCGTGAAATCATGATATTTGGCAAAAAGCAAGGTAGTTGTATAGGAGAATTTTTTTTGCCACTACTGCAAAGTTAGAACAAAGTTCGGTGCATTATTTATATCAATGGGTCGGTGCTTACCTTACGTATAATTTTAGTAAGTTAATTATTTTGGTGAGATTCAATATGGTAATTACCTAACTGCTTACACCTATTATCTACGTACATATTGGATAGAAATGGATATTATCTTTGTTAATTTAATTTCGTAAATTCGTCGTCTGTCAAAAGTATGATAGAAAAATATAACAGCATACATACATAATGATTTCTTATATTTACGCGAACACTACACATTGAATAAAACTATTTTTACGGATTCTATCGCGTTTAATTAAGTTATTTTATATTCCCGACGTTTCGGTTGCTTTCCAGCAACCGTGGTCACGGGGGACTGAGGTGATTGACGTCCCGATGTCAAAGTTAACCCGGAGTACCTTCAGCTTTTTAATTATTAATTTTGGTCCGATCTACGCAGAATGAACTAACTGTGTCTTGAAGTCTTGCAGTGGTATGCTTGGGATTAGTTTTAATTTTATGAATTACAGGATCCCAAGCAGGTGGTAGTACCCAGCCTCCCTCTCTATTGAAATTAGGATGTTTTGTAATTTCAATAGCCTCACGTATCATCCTTGACAGGAATCGATGTTCTTTCGCGAGAACTTGTGGTTTATTAAATCTAATGTAATGGCGGGGGCCGTCTAGGATATGATCACAAACTGCAGACTTCCCGGAACGTTGGTGCTTCACGAACACATAGCTGACGTGAAGCACCAACGTTCCGGGAAGTCTGCAGTTTTGCTACCGAAACGTCGGGAATATAAAATAAATTAATTAAACGCGATAGAATCCGTAAAAATAGTTTTATTCAAAGCATACATACATGTAATGTAAGTTGTATCAGTATCTATAAGCCAATTTCTATCATAATTACATTATTTTTATAATAATTATATATTTAAAATTTAAATGACTTCGGAAGGCATCGCTAAAACTTACGCCCATTGATATTTAAACTTTTATTAGCTAAGTCAAACATTGTTCAGTAACGAATTTTAAGAGTTTCAATTGTCGGTTTTGCTAACAGCATAGCATGTTAATAATAACTGCCAAATTAATAAAATAAATGGGAAATTACAAAAGCATAATATTTCAAATCACACAAATAAATTTAAGCTTAACTTTAAACATTCTCGAAAATATCGGAATCCCGGGTTCGATATTTTGCCAGGGTTGTATTTGAAAACAGTCAAAAATTGTCCAAACTCCAATGCCCCTAAATAATTGAACTATCTACCTGCATAAAACATTACGCCACCCTCGGGATGCGAGTCCTGTTCTCACTTTTTACTTCTCTTTCGGCCCTGGTGGTTTATAAACCACTTAAGAATACAACTTAGGGACCTTAAAGAAACGAGCTTACTCTTTTTTAAAAGGCCGACAACTTACTTGCAATTCACCTGAATAATTTCCACATCCAGCTTTTGGAGTCGGTCCTTGGAGATAGTGTACGGAAGGATGAATGCCCCAACTTTACATACAGTCAGTAGTTACATTAAAATTTCATCGCTTGTTTTTCCACTTACAGGTTTAGTATTTTTTTTCTATATAACCAATCCTGAAGAAAACCTATATAATCTATTTAATAAAAAAAGGAAACAATGAAATCGGTTCGATACATAATTGTCGAAACTACCGCGTAAAGGTGAACGCACATTTCTCAGCAGCATACGCGTAGCACGCACCGTACGTGCCGCATTTACTGAAGGCCTCGCATCTCGTTCATACGCGACGTATGCAAATCGTTAGTGTTGCCAACAACTTTTGCATTTTTCTCTAACCACTGGTGTGAAGCGGTACAGTGACATCGATGAACCTATGGAAAAATGTTTTAATAGTCATCATCATTAAATCTGTTTATTGGCAGATGAAGAAGAAAATAAAATTCGAAGAAAGAGGCAGTTGCATGTCTTGTCTGACGAATCATTGTTGCCTACACAGTAATAGTAAATACTACTGAAATAAGGTAAAAATATATTTTGAAACGTGTAAGTGGCTTAATCGTGATCATCTTACCTCAATTTAAATTTACTGACGTTTTAGGAAACACACCAGCCACTAAAAGCTATATATACTCCACTAGAAGGGGAGTCGAAACCACCAGTTTTAGTGGAAAATTCACTAAGTTGGTAACATTAGACAATACACGTGCGAATGCGTCGTATTTTATAACATCATCAGCATGCCTTCTTCAATATTCAGATACCTACCGCATTTTATGAAATACTACGCATATGGTGCGGATGAAATGTGCGAGGTTTCATATGATTTCATACAACGAATTCTAAAATGCGGCACATACGGCTTGTACCGTGTGTACGGTGCGCGAATGCGCGAAATATACGTTCACCTCTACATACACACAAAAACATACTGTCGAATTAAAAATCTCGTCCTTTGTAATATCGCCTAAAATTTAGGCATGCTTATTGGCGCGGTTTTCAAGAGGCCTACAATATTTTAATGTATTCAAATAGATTGATAAAGTATTAGAAGAATACTTGCATGAAAAGAAGAAGAAAAGAAATAGAATATTTTTATGTGTATTTATATATGTGTTTGTAAAAAAGGACAAAAACAACGTTTAATTAACAAACACAAAAACATACTGTCGAATTAAAAATCTCGTCCTTTGTAATATCGCCTAAAATTTAGGCATGCTTATTGGCGCGGTTTTCAAGAGGCCTACAATATTTTAATGTATTCAAATATATTGATAAAGTATTAGAAGAATACTTGCATGAAAAGAAGAAGAAAAGAAATAGAATATTTTTATGTGTATTTATATATGTGTTTGTAAAAAAGGACAAAAACAACGTTTAATTTTTATGTATTTTTACAGGTATGCGAATACTGGTGATGTTACTTTTGGATACATTGCCTATGCTTGGTAATGTCTTGCTACTTTGTTTCTTTGTCTTCTTTATTTTCGGAATAGTCGGAGTCCAATTGTGGGCAGGAATTCTGAGACAACGCTGCGAATTAGTCTTACCGCCGAACGTTATACGACCAAAGTGAGTATATTATCAGTTTTAACTCTATGTTAATAAGAGACAGGTCTTGAGGTCTTAAATTATACTTAAAATAAATGTTTTCTTAAGCTGAACATTTCATACAGTACCAGATTTGATTAATACATTAAGAGTTGTTATCACTATATCATACGATATCATTAAGTCAATAACGCTCGTTTTAGCGGCACGTTTCATTGCTAATGTTGACTGCATGCAATATTTAACGCTTTTACTCGTACATTCAAAGAGCGCATACACGGCTGCTCCATATCATTTTTATGTATATCGCTATACTTATACTGTTTATCATTGTTTTAAACATATTATGACCGCGCATGTTGGAATATGAACAGCTTACATACTTCACTAACAACACCCTTAAATATTGCATACTGTCAATTCATACATATGAGTGAAACAAACACACGTACAAATAAACATTTAACATGTAGCAAACAATATGCGTAAATAACGGAAAGATAAAGCTCTGCTATATCAAATGTTTTAAAATATGCATTCATTACATAACACAGTAGTTGCTACCAAAGTAAGAAAAAAATATATTTGTAGAATAGACCACTTATTTGTCAACTCAAGAGTCTAAAAGTAATGTATAAAAATGTGGTCACATTTAAAACATTTTTAGAAATTACAACGAAACTACGCATTTGTTGGTTTTAGTAGTGATTTGGGATCGTAACACCCCATCATCACATCGTGAATTTATGTTCCAGAGACCTGTCAGAATGGTACAGAGTGCGCGTCAGAGTGAACTCGTAAGGAATTGACATCAGAATTAAGTGTTTCTATTAAAATATTAAGATCTGTTGTCTCGTGTACCTTCACACATCTGCCATTCAGATGTGCTTTCATATCTGCTTTTCCTTCCCGAACTGGTAGTTTCAAGTCCAGCGTTAGGTTTCACGGCTAAATTAATCAGGTTTTACTTTTTATTGACTTGATCGAACTGCCAGTTTGTTCTAAGATGCTCAAAGCATATGGGTAGCTCTATTTTTGTATTTGATTATATATATTTTAATTCCATTTAAGCACTAAAACCTTTTTAAAACTATATATTATATATGTACCAAGAACGTTTCGTAGACTTCTTTCACACCATTGAACATAAAACATACAAATTTACACAATGTCGAAAAATCTAAACTGTAACTAGCTCACTAGTTTATTTATGTATAATTATTATCATATGTCTACACCACTAACGGTTTATATTTTTATCAAATCTAATTCAAAAAAAAATCAAGTTAAATCACATGCTTTTATTGTGAATGAGCTATAGAAATTTCATAAATACCTGAAAATAGGAGCTAAAGTCCACAATAAAACCCTTATAGCTATCATCAAGGGAACAAGACCCGTTACGGCCGGGATGCCCCAAATGTTGCGAATAATGGCCAACGTTTGCGATCCGGCGCCCGTTCCGGTGCTATCGTTTAACGATAACGACAATAAAACCACCAGCTTCAATGTATCGTATTCGCTAACTCCCTCACTTTATTTCCGTCTGATCTAGTATTAATTTTAAAATACTTTTGCTTTCGATTTGATACTGTGCATGTTAATATATCATTGCATGGGCTTCTGTGCTTGCATAGTTTTAATTTATTTCATAATGTTGAAACATTTGGTATACATCCTGTATTTGTTGTGGACCATGTAATTAGTTCATAATACTCGAACATTTTCAAAAATGCTAGCTTAATATGAAAGGGCTGTGTGATATAATTTTTGGAAAATTAAATTAATCGAGCTCTAATTAATCTACCAAATTCTAATTAGTACTCTGCCTAACAGATAAAAATTACTTTTATCTAATAGAAAGCACAATACAAAAGATGTGTTTTGTTAAATTATTTTAATATATGACAATAGTATGTATATATATTATGAATCAAATCAAAAAAATAGTTTTAAGAATAGTCAGATCTATGATTTCAAAACATGAAATGTTCAAGAAGCGAACTAAATTATTTTCATGTAACAGTAAACTGTACTATGAAATAATGTAATAGTTTTATACAATTTATCCGGCTTCGAGGGTTTAGCCGGCTTATTTCATAATTGTTTATAATTATAATAATTTATAAGTCGCTGATATTACTTGGTATTTATTTGAACTTAATCCAAAAAGCATGTAGATAATTCTAATTAAGCTCAGGTAAACTTGGGTTTATTGTTTCTGCGTCGTGCCAAATACTTTAATCATGAAATTGAACCGCAACTACGTAGCAATATAAAATATAAATTGTGTACCAATTACATGCCTCCTATTTGTCACGACGTAATTAATCACTTGGTCTACAATATATTACAATAATATATAGCTTTCACTAGTAAATTTGACTGTAGCCTAGTTAATTTTATATCACAATTCATATCATTAAAATTTCATATTTTGAAAAAATGCGTAAACTAAATACAATTAAAAATAAATACATTTATTTAATTTAAACTAACATCCACTTCAACTAAACGTCAACTAAATAACGTAATTTCACTATTTTAATTTTAACAATGTATAAATTCAATTATTAATAAATGCAATACAAAATTGTCTAAATTTAACTTTACCCGGTTACCGTAGCGTAATTTGTGAGTATTTATTAAATTTTGATCTTAGATATGCAATTTGTACACAGCATTTCGTTTCACTACGAGTTCTCCAAAGAACTGGATTACATTTGCACGACGCCTGAGGACAGTGGGATGCACCACTGTGGTAACTTTCCTCCCTACCGCTATGGACCTCTTGTATGCAATGAGACGGCGAAGCCATTTTCTTACAATAAACCTACGAACACATCGTGTGTGAACTGGAATCAATACTATACAAATTGCACCGAAAGAGGATCTAATCCATTTCAAGGCACGATTTCCTTTGATAATATTGGCTTGGCTTGGGTGGCCATTTTTCTGGTAATTTGATGTCATTCACATTTACATTAATTTAAAAATAATTCCAAAATGTTTAAAATACCATGGTATTTCCAGGTTATATCGCTGGAAGGATGGACAGATATCATGTATTATGTACAAGATGCTCATAGTTTCTGGGATTGGATTTACTTTGTGCTTTTGATTGTGGTAATGTTATTTCATATGTATTACAATAATATAATTATTTATAGCATTATACAATATATATATATATATATATAAACTGTGTATGTATTCCGAAGGTCCTGCATTATTTATGTACATATTACAAAATAGTTCCAATCTTATATTACAGATCGGGTCTTTTTTTATGATTAACCTATGTCTAGTAGTCATAGCAACGCAATTTAGTGAAACCAAAAAACGTGAAATGGAACGTATGCGTGCGGAAAGGGCTCGTTTCACATCCTCTTCGACATTAGCTTCATCCACGAACAATAGCGAACCCGCGACATGCTATGCTGAAATCGTAAAGTATGTCGCCCATTTGTGGAGGAGATTTAAAAGAAGAATGGCAAAAAAAATTAGGTAATTTTAATATATCCTACAATATTAATTAATATGCGTTGTATTCTAAAGAAATAGTTATTCCTTTTTAATTTACCACACAGGGTTTATCGATACCAAAAAGCCCAATTACGTTGGCGCCAAAGCCGGGAAACTCTACAATTGCCCGCAAATAAACCTAAACAACATCACCCCTGCTGTCCACGTGCACATCCACAGGTATTATTATATAATATGACCTGTTTACAACATTTGTATTGTTTACGATATAATAATAGTCTTAGTATAGTTAGTATTAATGATTGGTAAAAACTAAAAACAAAATGTGCGACAAAAAAAATCATAAAATATTTCGTAAGACAAAATTTAAAGTCTTATAAACATGATAAATAAGTTATCGTAGATAAGTTATGCATCAAATTTTCAATAACTCGATAAAAACACGCAATAGAAGTTTCAAAATAAACATATTTATAATTTATGAAATATGCACAAAATGTTAGTTGAACGAGAACTGTCATGCAACATTTCTCAACATATAAGCGGCACACGCCGTGTGAACAAAAAAAGCATTGTATTGAATTTGTGACAGGGGAATGGAGGCAAAGTGGGAGTCGACGAGGTGGGCGATGAGCCACTCAGCAGACCAAGCCTGTTGCGCGTACCCTCACTCTCAGCCGCCGATCTTGAGGTAATTTAATTTGTATATAAACACGTTCACTTGGGAATTTTCTTTTAATACCATATATTTTCTTTCCTTCAAGTCCTTTGAAAATTTTCAAATTAAAAAAAATATGTCTTTATTTAAAAATATTGCAATAAAAATATGTGTAACATTCAAAATCAATAAAGGCAAAAAAATGCAAGTCTTAATCGAACTAATTATTATTAGTTAAGAGTGTTACCATTACTGTACCGCCTATCAAAAGTCTACAGATGAGTATAGGCCTCCCCCATAGATTGTGTCCTAAGGAGGATATTTGCCATATTTGCCACGTTAATCAAGCGAGTTGGCTAGCGCAGTTTTATATTTTTGAGTTTTTATTAGGAAGACGATGTTGCCCATCTCCTTGTTTGTTTTCTTCTGTCGCCTTTTACGGCATCCATGGGCCGGTATGGAATATATAGTAGGTATTCTTACACCGCCGGTACACGGTTAATATGATTTTATATTATTTAAATTTTAATTTATTAAAAATATTTATATTTCATATTAAAAAATACGATAGCCATAATTATACGTCGTATTCCACATCTGAACCATATCTATTGATACCACATACTACGCCTTACAAATCGTAATATCTGATGTTAGTCCGTGTGTTCGGCATGGATATTTAAAAATAATAAATGATTATATCGTACATATAACCATTTTTGTTTTTACTGTTTTTCCATAGTCGCCAGCTGTATCGACACCCAAGAGATAAATAAGATGATTATAGGGGAGGTTTATTGGGTGGATTAGACGTTATTGTAGTGCCAGTTATTTTACACTTTGACGTTGCTACTTTACTTTGTTGAGATATAGTATAAGTTCATCAACATCTATCGGAGGAAATGTGATCTTTCTGTCACTATTCATAGTAAAATTCAAATAATTAAAATTTTAAATAATTTTAAAATATATTTTTTTTACAGAATGCATCTAACCTTTCCCTATTGTCACCACCATCCTTAGCTAGACGTCGTTCGTCAGTGATGTTCAGTGATACAGTTCTGTTACATACTCCCACTACTCCAACGGCTCATCCACACAATGTATGCTCGTCAGAAAAAATGACACAAACAGGTAACTCACAAGTGTGTTGAATGTTTAAATTTGTCATCGATACCGGTTGCAAAGAAACTTATCATTTGTACATAACAATTGTAACAGAAATCATCATCTCTTTCACACTGATTATGATAATTAAACAAAACTAATACGTTCTTCCCTTTTTGTATCCATATCTATAGATACAAATAGGAATCGTTCTCGAGCGAATATTTAAAAGGAAGGATTGAAAGAAATAAGGAAAAAATAAATACATTTATTTATTCTTGAACATAATCTTAAATTATTTTTTTTAATACTTATTTCCATAATAATTTTTTTGCGATATAATTTAAACGAAGCTCACAAAGTTGTGTTACTCAAAAACGCTTATCATCTAACTGAATCATGCGCTCAATAAATAAATACTCTTACTAACTTGATAAGCATAAATATTTCATTAGCTATTTATAATTACTACATACAAATTAAATGTAATGTGTATATGATACTAAAATGATAATCCGAAGAACATTAATTTCATGTACATGTTCTGAATTAATTATTGGAATAAATATTTGTAGATTCATTGTGCCAACGCGACTGGCTTAAGAGTCAAAGTGGTGAGTCTAGAGAGGTGTTAGATCTAGACGAACTATTAGCCGGGCATGTGTGAATTGACTTTTTACTACTTCTTCTTAAGAATTTCTGTGTAGGAATTCAGCGAAATACTTTAAGGTTTAGTTTATTTTGTTAGATTAGTTACATTTTAATTTATTTTTCAATGTTCCTTTATTTAAACTAGGATAGAAAATATCCTTTCGCTTCATAGGCTCTTTCAGAAATAAGAAATATGGATATAATATGTATTCTTAGTATTTGAAACGTACTCAGTATGTGTTTGTAAAAAAACTTGTTTCTGGATGTGCATAAAATCGTTTTATAATGCAATGCCCTTTAGAACCCTGCACTGTAGTGAATATAATTTGAAAATGTAGAGTTCGACCTGCCTGCAAGTGATACAGCCGACGATCGTGCAGCTGCAGGTGGCACGATGTCCTGTCAAGAACTACTGGCATTATCTGGTGCGCTATCTGCAGCTTTACCAACCGGACAAGTGGCTTTAGACTCATTTTTTGAAGAATTGACCAAAGGAATTAGCAAAAGAGCTGGTGAAGAAAAGACGGACACCAAGGTAATGAATAAGCTTATAAATTTAAATACTCATATAAACATAATTAAGTGAGAATTTAAAATGTAAAATTCTTTCGCAGGTAGTGGAAATTGAAGACTTTTCTTGTTGTGCTGATTTAATAGCCGCAGAAGCAGCAAAAAAGGAGACAAAGAGGGGACGCTTATGTAATGCGTGCTCAATAATCTGGAAACGTATATCACGAGTTTTGTCTCTGCTAAGGAAACAAATTAAAACTATCGTCAGTCATAAATACTTTCAACAAGGTAGTTTGGAACCATAATATTGTGACAGTTTTTACTTTTCAATTATTAACTTTTATTTTATTTGAATCACAGGTATACTTCTGGCAATACTCATTAATACACTATCAATGGGCATTGAATATCACAATCAACCAGAAGAACTCACAGTAATTGTTGAAATTAGTAATGTTGTTTTCTCTGCGATTTTTGCCATTGAAATGGTGTTAAAGATAGTTTCGGAAGGGCCTTTTAAATACATTGCTAATGGATTCAATGTTTTTGATGGTATAATTGTTATTTTAAGGTAAGTTTTCGTATATATGAACACTATTATTACATATGAAATTCTGTGAACACAATTAATCTTATTACTATATTGAACAGTGCATTTGAACTAGCACAAAGTTTTGGAAACGAAAAGGACATGGCAGGAAGTTCAGGTCTTTCGGTTTTACGTACATTTCGACTTCTGCGCATTTTAAAACTTGTAAGATTTATGCCAAATCTGCGACGTCAACTTTTCGTGATGTTAAGAACAATGGATAATGTTGCGGTTTTCTTCTCCTTACTTGTTCTGTTTATATTCATATTCAGGTAATTATTTTCTTGTCTATATTTTATAATTATATTAAAAAAAACTAGGTAATTATTGACAAATATATATTTTTACTCTTAAGGCATTAAATTTTAAATAACTCAAATAAGAAGCCTAAACTATTTTAAAAACTACCTATAAAATGCATGATAATAAAATGAAGCTAAAATAACAGGGTTCATTTAACAATTTCCGAAAAAAAATATATCTGCAAGTCCCAACGAGCTTATCTCCTTTATCTTCCTTTTTATTTAACATTCTTGTACAGCTTTCAAAATTATCAGGTTAGAATTATTAAAATAGTATACAAATATTACAACAAAATGAATCTTAATATAATATAGAATGTGAGAATCAATTCATTTCAACAAGACAAAGACCCTGATGGACAAGTTACTTTCGACTTGTTTTAACTTCTTTCTTTCTCTTTCTTGCTCTATTGCAATAATGCCTGTATCTACTATTTTAACTGTAGCAATCAAGTAGTGATTTACTTTCTTAAGCAATTACTTACTCATTGCTTACTTAGGTTTTTTATTTTTCTTTAGAAAAGAAGAATAATTCGACCCTTCGAATTTGTTAAATCAGAAATAGTTTCTACTTTACTATCACACTTGCATCCCTTAACCCGTGCACTATATAACTGTGAGTGAATTACCCTGTTTTCTTTTCTATCTTTTCCTTATATATCATTCATTCTGTGTATAACATTTTACCCACTACACACTACCACTGTTCACACTATTTACAACTTTTTCTCTTCTATATCTAAATTTATTGATTTTAGAGACTTTCACGCTTTTGTGCTTTTTCTCCACTTCTATTTCTTTAAACCTGCACTTTTTCACTTTCCATTTTAGACTATACCTCACACTTGTTAGCATTATTGTACAGTTGTACATAATAAGTATATTATTTCATCCCTTTTGTACATTTGGAAAGGAATATAGTAAAGATACTATTGTATTATCTAATCGTATATTGCGTGATAACGTTCAGCATCCTCGGTATGAACCTCTTCGGGTGCAAATTCTGCGAGAAAGATGAAGAGGGTGAACAAGAGTGCGACAGAAAAAACTTTGATACGCTCTTGTGGGCCTTTGTCACAGTGTTTCAGGTATTCAATATTTTAAATTAAAGTACCTAACAGACAACCCAAAAATCAAACTGAACTTGCTACATATTACTAAACGCTTTTACCTGTGAGCCCGTCATCAATCAACACTCATGTACAAATTGACAATCCTTTTAACAGACGATTGTCCCTTGACGGCTAATTGACTAACCACGCGAGTACACAAACGACTTTTCACTTTGCTGCAAGAGGTACATTAGGTGATGAAAATATTATAACAATTAATTGGGCTCATATCTTAAAATACCTTGCAGCATTGTGCGTTGTCAAACAGGCGTTCAGTCGCGTAACAGCTACCCTAGAACCCGAGTAGTAAACAAATCTAGAATCATCTGTAACAAACTGTTCCAAACTCATCTAGTTTAAAGTTCACCGTATGTTGTGCCGTAAAATACTCCCATCAGAAGTTGATAAAAGCACATTGTTTAGTAAGTGAGCTTGGTTGAATTGTAGGATAGCTTGCGAACGAGAAAAGTTGATTCGCGGATAAGTTCCCTTTCGTCAATCCTTCTAATCCCACTACTACAGCTATACTCGGTTTAACAATTCACTCTTTGCATGCTGCTTCTAGAATCTGTTTGAAAATTTAAAACGAATCAAATGAAGTGTTCATTTTCGAGAAAAATGTACTCTTTGTACAACCGATAATGTTCATTTCATTTTTTTCGTAAATGTTCTGTATAACTTTTTCATTTTTTTAACACATCTATACTTATATATCTGTATCTCCTTTTCCTATATTACGATATACAATGTCTGACGGTTGTTGCCCATTTTCTTCACTTCGTTTTTCTTTTTTCTTTTAAATTAAGCATATATTTATCTCTTAATATTATTTGATGGGAATGATTTTATAATAAATGAATTCTGGTACGAACTGAATGGAGACTTTAAATACCTATTTTGCACTTTTCTTTTGCCTACTTTTTCTTTCTGAATTAATTCCTGCATTTCACTATTTTAAGATAATGAGATGATAAAATATGTATGCATTTAATAATATTACCTTTGGGGAATATGCACTAAATAACATCATCTTTAAATGAACATATATAATTTATGTTATTAACAAATCCGTTGGTAGCGTACCAATGGCGATAACACTGCTTAACTAATATGGCTTTTAAATGTTAGATAAAGAAAAATGCAACTTAACAAAAAATAAAGAATCGACTAGTTTTACGGTGTTTGAGGTTCTTTGCACTTTCACTTCGTGAATGCTTTAGATTTGGTATATATATAGGTATTTTAAATTTATTTTAATTTAAAACACTTTCCAATTAAATCAAAACACATTTTGTTTTCATTATAACGTATTTCATCGTTGATCGCCTGTAACATTAGTCATATCTTGAGAAGTGTAACTTAGGTAAAATGCAGTGTTAACGTCGAGTACGTACAATCATCGTCTGATATATTCGGTCGCGGCGTATGCGCATAGCATTTTGTTTTTCTTTCATTTTTTCATCGGACCTGCGCGTCGTGCAGTATTCTTGGCATGTATCTATTCGGTGGTAAGTTTTGCAAGTACATCGAAGACAATGGCACCGAGCGTGATTGCACTTGCCCCGAGATCGTATCGCATCATCCCAAGTGTGAGTGCGACAGAAAACATTTTAATAACATCCTCTGGGCGACAGTCACCGTATTCCAGGTAAGATACAAGATAGAAGTGTTAAAGAAGGTACAAAAAATCGGTTAATTTGCGATCCTTTCGATTGTGCTTTTAGTAAGTTTCTAAATACGTGTTTCTCGTAATAGTAAAATGCTTAAAATTATATACATTTAAAACCTTGTGAAAATTTTAGGTATGTATGTATTATGCATAACTGTCGAGAAGCATTACTTGTTTGTAGATTTTGTATCATTTGTAGCATTCAAATGAGCGCTCTGTAGTTTGTGCATCTTGCTAAGTTGATTAGTAATTAGCTCTAGATAAACGCTGGACCCTTTTGCTTGTGTACTCCAAATCGCCGTCTGTGTTACTTTTCATTAGTGTTTACTTATAACATATCTACACAACACCTACTAACACTAACATGGCTGTATTCACAAAATTGATTTTATTTTATTTTGACAAAACAACTATAATTTGTACGAACACTCAGGCACAACTTATCTACAAATACGAAGATTTTTAAGAGCACACCCTGCTTATTTTGATAAATAAAATAAATCGAAATTTATGTCGTGGTAGTTTATCAATAGCGTAGTATGAAATATTCATTTCTGTGATAATTTCTCAGGTTTTAACACAAGAAGATTGGAATGTAGTATTATTCAACGGAATGGAAAAAACAAGTCACTGGGCAGCGCTATATTTTGTAGCATTAATGACATTTGGCAATTATGTTCTATTTAATCTACTTGTAGCCATTTTAGTGGAAGGTTTTAGTTCCGAAGTAAGTAAAAGTTTAGAAAAGACTTATAATTTTCACATTCAGGACACGAAATTTTATTAGTTACATATTTTTATTTTCAATACTGATTAAGTAAACGGTTTAAGGAAACACTGATAGGTATCTTAAATACGAGTACATCATTTAGTAAACTTGTTGAAAACTTTTTATAGCTTAACCTAGAAATACAATTATTAAAATTTACGAACGCAATAATAAAATTAATTAAAACGAGATAATAGAAATCATAACAAGATATAACCTTATTCAGCTCTTCATTAATTGTAATATATTTAAATCTATAACTGGTTAAATCTATATTAAATCATTGTAAAACTTTTAGCGCAACGAAAGAAGGGAGCGGGAACAACGAGAGTTAGCGAAGTCAAAATTGTCTAGCGAATGTTTTTCAGAACACAATGAAATACAATACGATGAATCTAATTCAGGGTCCCATTCTAGCGACAGTTTTTCCCAGGTGAAAACGTAGTGACAGAAACTTTAGTTTCATTTTTTTTGCCAGACAAATACATTGTTTTACTTAATTAGTTTTAAAAAACTCAATGTTGTCTTAGTCTATTTTGATCTTTATCTTGTTTTCTTAATCCTGTTTTAAACAGAATGAAATAAAAAACTTCTGGCGTTCTGCTGATGACGTAAGAAAAACAAAAGGTGACAAAAATGGTCACAAAGAGAAAGCAATAAAGTCAAGACGTAAAACAAAGTCTTCAGCTCATCACCCTACATTATGCAAGGACTGTGCACAATCGAACAAATGTAACTTACAGAAGGTAATCCATCATTCATGGTTATAATGACTTTATTTTTCAACCAACTCTAACATAATGTTTAAGACTTAACATGTTATGTAATTTTTATCTACTTAACGTTGACCTAATTTCAATAAATTATTAGATTTGATTTTTGAAAGTTACTATTAGATATGCATGCATGCATGATGAAGTTTCGAATTTAAAGAGATGGAAGGAATACTTTGAAAGCGTGTTTAAGAGTGAAGAGTCGTCTGGAATAAGTGAAATAGAAATTCCGGAAGAAGTGGAGAGAGGTAGGGAGATAAGTGTAGATGAAATAATGAAAGCAATGAAAAGCATGAAAGCAGGTAAGGCAGCCGGATATGATAGAGTATCACTCGAAATGCTGAGGGCTGGTGAGGGTGTGGTTACAGGCCTGCTGCACACCTTGTTTAATTTATGTTGGGAACTGAAACGGGTACCGGAAGACTGGTGCAAAGCCGTTATAGTCCCAATATATAAGGGAAAGGGGTCGCAGCAGGACTGTAAAAACTACCGTGGTATCAGCTTGCTTAGCATTGTGGGTAAACTGTATGCTAAGGTGTTAATTGAAAGAGTTATGGAAGAAACTGATGGAAAAATTTGGGATGTGCAAGCTGGATTTAGAAAGGGGATGGGGTGTACGGATCAAGTCTTTTCCATGCGCATGATAGCGGAGAAGTTTTTGGCCAAAAACCAAAAAGTTTTTTGTGCGTTCATGGACTTGGAAAAGGCTTATGACAGAGTGGACAGGAATGTGTTATGGCAAACACTGAACTCATTTGGGTTGAGCGCTGGCTTGATACAGGCATTAAGATCTCTTTATAGGGACTCTAGTGCTTGTGTCAGGATCAACGGGGTCTACTCGGACTGGTTTGGCATTCATAAAGGTGTCAGACAGGGATGTGTGGCTTCCCCGTGGCTATTTAACTTATTTATGGACAGTTGTTTGCAAACTTTGAAAGTTGAAGAATGTGGGTTGAGAATGGGTGAGTCAACCGTCAAATGCCTTTTGTACGCCGATGATCAAGTCATATTTGCATCGTCGGCGGCCGAGTTGCAAATGATGGTTACTTTAATGAATTGGTCATTGAAAGAAAGGGGTATGAAAGTGAACGCAAGTAAGACGAAAGTGATGGTTTTTGAAAGAGAAGAAAGTAAAACTTTATGTGAAATAAGAATAGAAGGGGAGTTGATTGAGCAAGTGGATGAGTTTGTATATTTGGGATGTTTGTTTAGCAGGGATGGTAGATATGATAAGGATATAGAACGACGAGTGAACGCAGGAAATAGAGTGAATGGGGCTCTACACGCTATTATGAGGAGTCAGAATGTGTCAACTAAGGCACGTATGGCAATTCATAATGCTGTGTTAGTCCCTACTTTAATGTATGGTAGTGAAAGTTGGGTCTGGCAGAAGAAGCATGAGAGTAGAATAAATGCTGTAGAAATGCGTTCCTTAAGGAGTATGCTAGGGCTAAACCTGAATGACAGGGTGAGAAATAGTGTGATAAGAGAAAAGTGTGGTTTGCAAGATGACGTTGTGACAAGGATTAAGAAAGGAATGCTTCGGTGGTTTGGTCATGTAGAAAGAATGAACGAGGAAAGAGTGACAAAGCAAATTTATGTTGCGAAAGTGAACGGCAGGGTCGGGAAGGGACGCCCTAGACGAAGGTTTATCGACCAAATCGGCTATACATTAAAAATGGGCCAGATTAGGAGTACCCTTAACCGACGAGCGTGTATGCGTAGATATATGGATGTAAAAGAGGCGAGAGAGGTGTGTCAGGATCGCGCCAAATGGAAGTCCGTAGTCTCTGCCTACCCCTCTGGGTGACAGGCGTGAGTGTTTATGTATATGTATGTACTATTAGATATGTTAATATTAAAATTAAAAATATATTAATATAACGCATTTCCACAAAGTAACGCCTGATTATTTCAATAGTTTCTATTGTTAGAAATTCCAATGTGTGTATTCCCATTATTACAGACCTTCATTTAAAGAAATCGTTTTGTAAAAATTATTTTAACTATAGGCCCATATTGATAAAATTAATAGGCACGTATTATTCACATAATGTTAAGATTTTAGTATATTTGATATCTGTCTGAGTCGTGTTTACCAAATATCTGATTATAAATGCGAATTTAATGTTTGTCTAGTATTAAAATTACTTTTTTATATTTTCATCTTAATTAACTTGACACAAAACTGAATATAAAACTTTCCAAAAAGAAAAGGGGAAAAATTATATATAGGATATGTTTTGGTTATATATGAATATATGTTTTTATTTTTATTTTAGGAATCTAAAATGTTAGCTAACAATACGGCTACTACAGAAAACACTACAGTAGTACCGATGATAACGCATACTGCAGCTACACCTCAAGATTCGCCATCGACTACCTTAGAACCTGGCGCATCGTTCAGAGACTTTAATATGTCACTGAGTCTTGAAAAGTCTTCAATGCTATCTAGTTTAGATTCAATTGATCGTATTTCAGTAAGTTCCTTTCTAGGTATTTTTGCAATATGGATATTTATTTTTAAATCCAATGTCAATATCAACTTAGCAGATATTAAAATATTGAAATATACATTAATGAATTTGAGTTAAATTAATATTTTATTTAAAATGAAACGTACATGTATATTTATTTGTCTGTAACTGTAATGTAATGTTGCAGCCTTACGTCCCACTGCTGGGCACAGGTCTCCTCTCATTTCTGAGAGGGTTTTAGGGCAAGGAAATGTCCGCCGCGCTGCCCCAATGCGTGTTGGCGAACTTCACATGTCTTCGAAATATTTTTTTTTCTTATTTCTCAGACATGCAGGTTCCCTCACGATGTTTTCCTTCACCGCCAAGCACGTGGTAAATCAGCACTTAAAATTGCAATTAACAATTTCATTGGTGCCGGCGGGGATCGAACCCGGGTTGCTCGAGTACTTTGAAGCTTACCGCGAGCGCTAACCATCTGAGCTACCACGGCTCGTTTGTCTGTAAAATATATATTAAATACCAAAATTATTTTGTGTAATTATAATTATATATATTATATAATTATTTTTTTTGGTCTTAATTTTTCTTCATAAGTCGACTACTTTAAATTCTCACCACTTCATGGATTGTCTGGTCTATAGGCATCAAGCTCGTCATTTCTGTTCGTTTGTAATAAGGAATGCAATAGAGAATAATAAAACCGTTACAGCTTATTAGAATCCTCTGTTGAACATAGGCATTCCCATAGATCGCCACGCTTGGCAAGCGGGTTGGCAACCGCAGTTTTTTATTTTTAGTCGTTATTAGGAAATGCTACTGCCCATGTCCTGATTTGTCGCCTCTTATGCCTTTTGTCGCCTCTTACGACACCCACGGGATGATATGGGGTAGTGGATATTCTTACACCGCCACTACACGGTATAAATTATAAATAAAGTAATAATTAAACACTTAAATAAAATGTGTTGGAACATAGTCATGGAGTCCAATTATTAATTTATGATAAACATTTTTAGACAATGTGTTATTTTTTATTTCAGTGCACAAGTATTCCAGGTTTACTAAAGCCACCAAACAGTTATACGTTAACCTTGCATTCTGCTGCCGCTCAATTAGGCGCTGAGAAAGCTCGCTTACCACCAATGACCCTAGCACCGCCTCCTTTAACGCTGGCTCCACCTCCTACAAAGGCGACATCTCCAGCTTCTGCTTCACCGACTACACCAAGATCAATGCCTTCTCCCATGCTGCCTGAAAAAAATCTTCAAGTCACAATTGCGAAGGAAGACAATTGTCTCAACATCAACGACAAATCAAGTCTGCTGAGCTCACAAAGGTAAAAAACTATATAATGGTATATATGTATAGACAGCAAATTAATATTTTGATCCGAAATATACAAAACATGTTATTACAGAAGTCTTGCAATAACTAGTCCATCCGTTAATGGGGAAGATAAATGTAAGGTGCAGAGAGGTTACAGTTGGCGACTATCACGACCCAGTCTCCGACGTAAAAAGCAAAGGACAGGCTCTGATTCTGACGCTGTGATACTCAATAATGGTCGTGATCATGCGTCTTGTAATGGTAAGACAGAACGCATACTTAGAATTAAATTTTTCTTCTACAATTTGCGTAACAATATTATATTAATAATAAAACTTAAAAAGTGTTAACTTAAAAATTTCTTATAATTAAGCGAAAACTACACATTGAATAAAACTACTTTTACGGATTTTATCGCGTTTATTTAACTTATTTTGTTATTTTTATTAATTCCCGAAGTTTCGGGTGACCATGGGTGCTGAAAAGCACCCGAAACGTCGGGAGTTAATAAAAATAACAAAATAAGTTAAATAAACGCGATAAAATCCGTAAAAGTAGTTTTATTCAAAGTGTTATCTTAAAAAATTGTGAGCTAGGGCAATTTTTCTATGCTAAGAAATTCATAAATTTCTTCTTCCTTCATTTTTCAGTAGCCACTAAATAACAACATCTGAGCGTGAGTCTTTTCTCACAACATTTTACTTATTTACAATAATAACAACGTATCGTATGGTACTGGCAAATTGACGAGCACTTTTGACTCTGCACTTCATCACTGCTGACATATACGAGATGATTGTGTAAAGAAATTGATTTGCTCTTTCTTATAATTGACTTACGAAACACCGTTTTACATTCTTATGGTTGTAGTCCGAATTGGTCGGCTCGAACCGAGAAAGACCATCTCTCTCCGAGAAGACCTGATTCTCACATAATAATAGCGTAAAATAGCCTCATAATACTTCTGTGTTTTGTATGGTACATGTCGAGAGTCGGAAACCTTTTTTCCGGTAACCAGGTATTCCATCTTACCGTATGACAACGCATTCTTATTTTGATTTTAATCGACGATAGATGTAAGTTTGTAACCTATTTTCCCTTTTTTTTTGATCTTACTAATACTATAAAAAACAAAAGATTGAATTTTTGTGATAAATTTTCACACAATTTTATTTTTTTGTGGCTACATAAAAAACACGTAAAATCTCTGTTTGTATTTTTTAAAATTTTTAACTTCCAGGTAGCTTTTTATGTGTATACTAGCGATCCGCCCCAGCTTCGCTCGGGTGATTTCTAGATCTCAACAACAGCGCCACCTACCGGGTCAAAATGTATACCTTAATCATCTAGGGGCCGTTTTTGAGTTTTAGCGAGACTAACGGACGGCAATTGGTTTTTATATATAGACTACTAGATAGATTTAACTGAAAACACTCAGTGTAAGACACTAATTTGTATAATATTACTATTTATAAATTCTGTGTTTAACAGGTTCAAGTGTACGCAAAAACGAACTTCTTCTGTCATCCTCAATGGTAATCAAGAACGATACTCAATCAGAGTTGCCCAATAATCGTACAAAGTCTCAATTGCCAGCTCCTAGAGTACTCGCTCAACCAGTTAGAAGAGTATCAGCTCATGCAACACCTTTACTGCCAGATGTAAGTCTTTCGTAAACAAAAATTTAGATTGATGTGACCTGCTGCATATAAAGTAGTTGAACACCACACGGAATTCACAAATAAATAAAATGAAAAAACAAACGCAATTTAATTCTCGTTTTGTTTCAAAAATAATCGTAAATATTCAGTAGTTATAGGGGTATATGCCACCTTTTTCCCCAAGTGCCAGCCTCACCTCCACATTGCTGGTTCACGAACGAGGCTCTAGTACCGGCCGATGTTGTAAAAGTTATTGAAAAATACCAAGCTAAAATCTCACAGACTAGTATCAGTATTAACAAAGCTATGATATCGTCTTCGTACTCATTGCCTGTATGAGCATATTTCTAAGTAAACCACTCAGTTTTAAAAGGCCGGCAACGCATCTGCAATTCCCCTAGTGTTGCGGTTGTTCATGGGCGGCAGTATTCACTTACCATCAGGTGAGCCGCATGCTCGTTTGCCCCCTCTCCTATAAAAAAAACTTATTGTCACATTAATATTAAGACATAAGCCTATCACCTGTTTATGTCAAGATGTTTTTAAGTGGTAAACGAGCGTGCGGCTCACCGTAAGGTGTGTTGCCAGGTTTTGAAAAGCTGTAGGCTCATTTATTAAAGATCTCAAAGTCGTATCGATGCCGAAAAGGCGCTGGTGGTAGCTCATTCCATAAAAAAGTCGTACGAGGAAGAAAATTTCCGGTAAATCGTAATTTTATCGCGATGTGCGATGGTGAAATTTGGCGGTTGATATTAACCCGAACAATCCCTCTGAAAACTGCCCGTGGTAGATGCGATATGCAAAAGACTGCAACATCTGATACTCTTTACTGGTAAAGAGGCTTTCCATCTTAGTCCTCAAGGGTGGCAGCGCATCTGCATTTTGATTCTTTATTGAGGATAGATTTAGATGTCTAAGGGCCACAGTATCCATTTACCATCAGGTGGACAGTGTGCTCGTTTTTCACCCTTATTCTATAAAAAAAGAGAGTGCACCTGTACTTGCGCATAAACTCGGACACTATAATCCTGTCCTACTATGATGGTTTCCGTTGAGTTTGCTTGCCGCGACCAAAATTCGGTCTGGAGAACATTTATTAATTTTAATTTCATCTGAAATAGGTCTCATGGAAAGCACCCGAAGCCGGATTTTCATCTGAATCAACCATAAAATTTGAGACAGTGAAGCCCACACCTCATAGACTTTCTCTCACTAACGACTGTTTAACAGGTAAGAAGAGTTGATTTCAAATTGACAGAGAATATGTAAGTGAGATTAACAATAATTAATAATAATAAAATAATAATAGTGAAATTAACTAATAAACTTGAATTAAATAAAATTATTAAATTGATTTATTACAATAAATATATTTATACATATAAACAAAATTAAAGAGTCTGGGTTATTAGCTTACTGTTAAGATGAATAACCATTCTTAAAATGTTTGTTTGTCTATCTGTCTATCCAGGTTAATCTTCAGAATGGGTAAACAGGTTACGATAAAACTTCACAAACAGATTGAAAACAATGTCAGGAATAATCAAAGCTATATTTTATTCAGAAAACATACAAGATATTTTTAGAATCAAACAACCAATAAAAATATTCGTTTTGATAATTATCTCATGTGCTACGTAAATAAATATCTCATATTCGCGCAGGTTATAGCCATAGTACAATTAATTTACTGTAGGTGGAGCGCGTATTATAGTGACAAATTTATTTGAAAGTTATATGTCTACTACTACTTACTAGTTAGTAAATTTATTTAAATTATTATTTCTGCGGCTGCAACGCGACGGGCACTAGCAAGTATGAGTTAAAAAAGTTTTAACAAAACTTTTTTTTGTAATTTTAAACAAAAAAGGTCAAAACTAATAGTTTATCTCCTATCTCTTAAAGTTTTGATGCAAAATTGATTTACACAATTTTACAACAAAATTGATGTAATGAGTGAAATGAGGGCATCCACGACTTTTTCTGTCACTAGTATGTCAAAGTGAGGTAGAATATTTGACAGATTTCATACCGGGGAAATTAATTTGTTCGGAAAATGTAAAGGTTATTATTTCTTTCTGTACTAATGGCTGTATTTTATATTAATAAGATTAAAAATAAATAAACCAAACCACATATATTCCTAAAAGTATTTTTTTTAAAAGTTTTAAAAATGTGCAAAACATGAAAGAGCAAACTGAGGCATTGTTTTGTGTATTAATATAATACTCTAGAAACTGATAAACTTTTATTAAAAACCCACTTCTCAATTAAATTACATCGTGTAACAAAAAACTTTACCTCAGTATCAAATAGCGACATCTGGTCGCAGAAAGCAGCGGGAAATTATTAGCCCTCATTAAGAGAAAGGTATAAAGGTATATAAGACATGTTTCGCTTGACATAAATAGATATTCAAATTGTTTTCCCATGTCGCACAAAGTTTTAGAGATAAAAGCAAAAAAACTGAGTTTAAGGTGAAAGCTCCAGGGTGGCCCGCGAAATTCAAATTTTGTTACGTTTCTTAGAATTTGTAGATCAAGGTCAGGTTGAATGTTTAACAAGATATGATTTGCGACCGTATCGAGTATGTGTTTACAGAATTATTATCATTAACATCACCAATACTATCCTCCAAGTTCATATAATCCCTTTGAATGAGTTTTTCTGGAAATAGCCATACAATGAGATTATACGAACTTAGAGGGTTGTATTGATGATTATAATGATTATAATTCTGTAAATACGTACTCGTTACGGTCGCAAATCATATTTTATTAAACATATAACCTGACACTGACCTACAAATTGCAAAAAAAAACATAAGAAAATTTGAATTTCGCGGGTTACCCTGGCGCTTTCACCTTAACCCTTCAAAACCCGAAAAATCCAAATGAATTTATTACTGTCAAAGTTATAAACCCCGCCAAAGAGTATATAGTAATTAAATTAAATTAAGGGACCCCTTAGAACAATAGATAAAGAGTATTCAGAACTTAGAGTAGAAATAAGCAAGGTATAGAGCGCGCGTATCGCCCAACGCCCATTATGCCAAGCGTAAAATTGACGCCTATGCGTTATTATACTTAAGTTATTAATTTGATTATGTAAGTATTTGTAAATTTTAGGTAAGCGATAATTATAAGGTGTTTTAGCTCAATAAAACATAGGTACGAATTTATGAAACGATGTTTATTAATCAAACACAAAAATCTAATTAATTTACTCTCTCGTTAAAAACCATATTATATATTATATAAACCGAAGGATGTTTTTTCACAGATGATTTTTTAAATTGGCGGTGGAAGACTTATAACTTAATACATCTTTACATTCATTACACGTTGCTTAAAAGTTTTATTGTCTTATTCAAAATGGTGCCATATCACTCTACTATTTTTACAGGCCGACGCCAACATAGTTAATATTTACACTATTTGACCACTTAAATACCTAAGTACCACTATTCCTGTTTATGTATACTATATGTCACTATTAACACTTAGAACTTAATACTATGAATAGTTATATTTTAGTTAATCTCTCAATTTAGAAAACTACTAAATACGTTTAAAGTGGTTTTCCGATAGTTGTACTACTTACCTAAAGACCACTGTTATAGATCTGCAATTTTCAAGTGTTAAACGCGGACCAAGTCGCGGATAAAAGCTAGTTCGATAATAAGCTTGTTGAATTTATGTATTTATTATAGCGCGCCTGATTTTCTATTTCATTTAGAATTCTGTGACAACATATTATATATAGATTAATGGAATACATAAACTTTAAAATTACCTCGTATTTTATTTATACGTTTAATAACAATTCATAAACTTTTTTATTTTTAAAACTACACTAGGATTTTCTCCTATATAGTACAGGCACTTTGCATACTTATACAAGGATAAACATTCAGACCAGGAACAGTTATTTTTATTTGTAGGCCATAGATACAAGTACTTGTTCCGTGTGGTATTCGAACGCGCGTACCTCAGCGCCGCAACTCCTTGTTAATCCATTGCGCCACGTAGCCGCAAATTGCCAATGCAAAGAAAAGAATAACTGTTGTAAATGCAGAAACCTCTGAAATACTATATTATTATTTTTTATAGTAACAACAGTTGCAGAAGTGAAAGCCAGTAACTTGACGCCACCATCTAGCCAACTATCGCAACAACCACCAAGACCTCCTCGGAACGAAACAGCTTCTTTATCGACTAGACCCAACAATCAATCTCTCTCACTTATTAAACAGATCAATGAAGAGGTAATTGACTATTGTGATTGTTCACATAATATTTATTCAAAACTAAGTTTTATGTTAAAAGAGGTTATTGCCAAAATTGAAAAGTAATTACCTGCATTTACATCGATTTTACGGAATCAATCTTACCATTTCGTTCGGGAGATAACGACACATTATTTCGTCAAGTATACCTTAAAACTTGAAAGCAAGAGTGTACAACTAGTGCGTGTTATCAGTGACGACATAGGGATCTCAGACGTGGTTTTTCACTGCTAGCCGCATGAGGAAACGCAAGGTCGCCTAGCGAGCTATGGACAGGCCTACGGTTGGAGTTTATCTGCATGATAGACTTCCAAATAAGGATATCCGCAGGAGAACTGGAGTAACCGATATTGTCCATCGAATCCAGTAGCAGTAAGAAATGACAATGGGACAAATGAGAAGAAGTGTTCTCGCGTGGCAGCCCCGTGCCAGTAAGCGAACTGTAAGGTGACTTCCCACATGAGGTGGCTCTGGACCGTGCTTTGTAGCATTCCTTGAGAGAGGCTTATGTCCAACAGTGATTTTGTGAAGTGCTGTAATGATGATGATTTTGTTCGTTTCACGGAATAATCAATGAGGTGCAACGGGAAGCAGCGCCAAAGATGTCAGAACATTTAGTACTGGTACTGTTGTCACCGATTCGCCTGCTAAGCGTGGTGATATAAGCAAAGCCTCCCTGCAACGGGAGAGGTACACGTCTAATACGACCAGATGATGAAGAACGGAAAAAATCAGAGGAGAAGAAAGATTAATTCTTCATATTTATATAATAAATTGATGATCAAAATTTGAAGATATAAAATTATAAATGTTTAATATTATTTAAACAGTTATTGCATTTATCAGCAAAATGCTACCAAAAAGGTTTTGTTTAGTTTTTTTAAACATTACAAAGAATATATTTTTCTGGCTCAATTAAATTGAAATATAAATAAATTTTATTTTTGTAGGTCACCATTAATAACAATATCTGCATATTTTCATTTCGATTTAATAGACATCAATACCGATTCAAAGATCTTTTTCGGTTTATGGAGCCTACTGGATGTCTCAAGGAAAAAGAGGATTATTCACTATACATATTTGCTCCCGATAACAAGTAAGTTTTATCGTTACCTTTATAATATGATTAATTTTGATATATTTTATATGTAACTACTAAAATCCGAAGTGCAGATCGTAGCTCAGTCGACTACACCTATTTGCAGCTGATTGCGGTTAATTAAATTTAGGTGTAATTAGATATTTCACAGTACGGATAACACTTCAAGAAAAAATAAAACCAGGCTCATTATGGGACGTATGTAGGCTATTAGGTACTAAAATAGTAAACAACTAGTGCACTATTTTACTATCAGTAATTGCGAGGGTGAACATTGGAAGCAATCTCCAAATGATGAGAGGCACACGCAACCAATTACTCTTAGAATTAATATAAAACCAAAGGCTATCTAAGTGCGACCATAATTGCCAGTGGAAAATAACAAGTAGTTGAGGAGAAACCGATTTACTTATAATAGCTAGCTTGAATACGATAAAGAAAGTGATTGATGATTGGTATTTTTTTAGAATCAGAAGATTCTGCACGTGGATGGTAACAAGAAGCTGGTTTGATAATATTGTGCTTCTGTTCATTGCACTTAATTGTATTACGCTTGCGATGGAACGACCAAATATACCACCTGATTCAAAAGAGAGAGCTTTTCTGTCGAGTGCTAACTACGTCTTTACTGGTGTTTTCGCTGTTGAAATGCTCGTAAAGGTATTTAAACATCAATGTTTTATAATGTTTTAAGAAAATATAATCGCAACTTTTTATAAACCACTTACTATTGTTATGTTTGTAGGTCGTGGCATCTGGAATGTTCTATGGGCCCGAAGCGTACTTTACTTCCGGATGGAATATCATGGACGGCTCTCTTGTTATTATATCTATAATTGATTTATTGATGTCGTTAGTGTCTGAATCTAGTCCTAGAATTTTCGGCATCCTCAGGGTAAAGTTTAATAGTAATTTAATATTAATAAATGTGAAATCTAAACCCGTATTTTATTCACTCAAGCAAAATATTTTTAGGTTTTCCGTTTGTTAAGATCATTACGACCACTAAGAGTAATAAATAGGGCACCAGGGCTAAAATTGGTCGTTCAAACGCTGCTATCTTCATTGAGACCTATTGGAAATATCGTTCTCATTTGCTGTACATTTTTCATCATATTTGGAATATTGGGAGTACAGGTAAATAAAAAATATTAAACAATTAATTACTAAAAGATGTTTCCTTATTAATTATTATTTAAGGGTATTCATCTCAATTCTAATTACAGTCTATTACTGTCCACTGCAGAACAGATCTTCCCATAGAACGTAACAATTATGTTTTTGTAATCATAATATGGTTAAAAATATAGAAATAAATGTTTTTAAAAATATATTATGCTCGTAATTTAAAAACTTACATATTAATTAAATTTAAATATTGCAAATAGTTATTCATAAATTATTTAAATAGGAATAAGTGTATTTGAATCATTAAATTTATTATATCAGTAACATTTTGTAATATCAGTGAATGAGACACAATAGAATTTCAGTGATATTTACATAAAATATTAATAGCCATGTGACTCAGCTAGAACTGAAACATCTCATATTATCTTTTTAATCTAAACTAAACTAAATTAAATGGAAACAATTTTCAGTTGTTTAAAGGAGCTTTTTATTATTGCGAAGGAGCTAATATCAAAAATGTTAAAAATAAGACAGATTGCTTGGCTATTGAAGGAAATGTATGGGTAAATCGAAAGTACAATTTCGATGATTTGGGAAAAGCTTTAATGTCACTTTTCGTATTGAGCTCAAGAGATGGCTGGGTTAATATAATGTACACTGGACTAGACGCTGTTGGAGTTGATCAACAGGTATATTCTTTTGTTTGCATTTGATACAAATATTAATTTATTATTAACATAAAATTATTATATTTGCAGCCTATAGTAAATTATTCAGAGTGGCGCTTACTTTACTTCATAGCATTTATACTCCTCGTGGGCTTCTTTGTACTGAACATGTTCGTGGGCGTAGTAGTTGAAAATTTCCACAGATGTCGCGAAGAGCAAGAAAAGGAAGAAAGAGTTAGAAGGGCGGCTAAGCGGGCACTACAAATGGAGAAAAAACGACGTAGTAAATATCTTTTCTTTTGTTATGTACTTCGTTATATATTTACATATAATCACGGACCTGATTTCTAACATCAACATTATCTTTCAGAAATGCATCAGAGACCTTATTATGCGGATTATGGTCAAAATCGACTCTTTGTTCATAACGTTGTAACATCGAAATATTTCGATTTAGCAATTGCAGGTGTTATTGGGCTAAATGTAGTTACAATGGCAATTGAATATTATAGAATGCCCCCGGCTTTGGAATATGCCCTAAAAATTTTCAATTACTTTTTTACTGCAGTTTTTATTCTTGAGGCGGCTATGAAGCTAGTTGCACTGGGAATAAAAATTTATCTTAAAGACAAGTGGAATCAACTTGATGTTATAATAGTAATACTTTCCATCGTTGGAATAGTCTTAGAAGAACTCGAAACGAACATTATACCAATAAATCCTACTATAATGAGGGTTATGCGAGTATTACGAATTGCAAGAGTATTAAAATTGCTGAAAATGGCAAAAGGTATTAGAGCGTTATTGGATACAGTTATGCAGGCTCTACCGCAAGTTGGAAACTTGGGGCTTCTTTTTTTTCTCTTATTTTTTATATTTGCCGCATTGGGTGTTGAACTATTTGGGCGTCTAGAATGTTCTGATGACATTCCATGTCAAGGTGAGAATTCATTAATTATTTTAAATGGAAGTGTTTGTTTATACTATTTAAAAAATAAAAATAACCTAAAAAAATATTTTTCAGGGCTTGGAGAACATGCCCATTTTGCCAACTTTGGAATGGCGTTTTTAACGCTCTTTAGGGTGGCGACTGGAGATAACTGGAATGGTATTATGAAAGACACACTCAGAGAGGATTGTGATAGTTCTGTAGATTGTGTACGCAATTGTTGTGTTTCAACTATTATAGCCCCAATTTTTTTTGTTGTGTTTGTTCTAATGGCTCAATTCGTACTCGTGAACGTGGTCGTTGCGGTAAGTATATTCATCTGTACTAAATATTTATAGTCATATATTTTCTCATTCAAACTCAATTGTCTAATGTATGAGGCCGGATAGCATATTGAAAATAATGAGACACTCTCTTGTTCAGTATTTTACACAACCTAAAAAGTGCAGTAATAATGCGTGTTTCCAATTATTAGCAGAGGGTGTTTAAACTCCCTCAGCGAGCTATGCTCGGAATTTTCTGCATGATAGAATGCAACGGTAATATTCGCAGTAGAGTCGGAGTGGTTAATATAGCCTTACTTTGCAGCCACCCACTATTTAGCTCAACTAAGTGAAATTTAACAAATGACACCCCATACCGGCAAGTGCATTATATCTCTGTGCTAACTAGACACATAATACATATCAATCAGGCAGTAAATTGACTTAGGTAGTTTAGTAGTATTGCTGCAAGGCTTTGAGGGACGCTTATGTTTAGCAGTATACGTGGAATGGGCTGATATACTGGATGAAATATTTTTATTTTCCTACTGAAGTATATGATTTGAATATAAATTATAATTATTGATGATTTATTTTTAGTTTTCAAAACCTGACTTATTTTAATACCCATCCTTCTTTAATATCAATTGTAATAATCAGAAAATAAAATACTTACACATTTTTATAGGTGCTTATGAAACACCTTGAAGAATCACATAAACAAATGGAAGATGAAATAGACATGGATGTGGAACTTGAAAGAGAACTTGAGCGGGAAGCTGATGATGAAGAGGATCGAGCCCTGTGTCGGGCATTAGAGCAATGTACCTCTCCGTTAAACCCATTAAATAAAGTACCATCATTACCTGCGAATTTCACATACAGTGAACCTAAACAACCAGTGACACCATCTCCCGTACGACGTCGTCGCACGTTGCACTCACATCATGCATTATTACCATCTCCGTTGCCATTACCACAAAGAAGAGCATCATTGTCTCCTCATGCATTTGGGCGACGACGCCAAGAGTCTACATCTGATACTCGGGCCGCTTTATATGAAGAGGATGCTCGTTTTATTGATGCTGATGACATCGAAGAATTGGAACCTGGAAGTCCACCTAGAAGAGACTCATTTGCAAATAATAGGCGACAACGTGTAGATAAAAGAAATTCTTTACGTGGTGAAGAAGCAAGGTTATTAAGACCTACACCTGTTTTACTTGCTGTTCCTTCAACGCGGCAAAGTGTAAGGCTTGCTGGATCAAAAAAGAGACCTTCAGTTGAATCTGCTGCGAGTTACATTAGTCGAGGTTCATTACGTTCCCACTTAACACCAGAAGCAGTCGAGCTACCAATAAGCGAAGAAGAAAGTATAAGGATTGTTATTGCAGAACGGCGAAAAATAGACACTGCCAGACCAGATACAAATGATACAGTCGAATTAACAGAATGCGGGTCCTAGTCCAGGCAGGGCCGGCCGCAACAACATCATGAAGTTTACATCTAGACGAAATAAGTTATCTAGAAATTCGCCCTAATTTCCACTCTATCAATCATCACGTTCCAAATCGACTGAAAAAGGAATAAAGAATTTTGAAACCGGTTGCACAATTGTAAAGACAAAATATTAACAATTTATCATTCTATTCAAGGGACTTCCCTTGTTACAACCGGCAAGTGACGGATACAGTGAATGTGCTTAGAAAGTTTGAAACGAAATGACACTTTTGTTTTATCCTTTCATCTGTACTGTTTCTTTTTACTTTAATCAAAAATGCGGCCGGTTCAATAACTTCACAGACTTTAATAATTTTAAGTTAGACTGAAGAGTTATTCAGTATAAGCATTAGGACTAGTCAATTTGTTATGGTGAGACATTTTCTACGAGAACTAAAAACTATTAGGTACTTTTAGTCAATAATTAGTACGGTGCTTGCTGTTAACATGTTAACCGTTATAATATAAAGTATTGTACAAAATATTCTCATAAAACCTCAACAAAACAATTCTTCGATTGTGTGATGATTCTAATTTAAAAAAAATGTGTGGTAGTCATAATTATTAAGTCAGCTGACAAAAGTCAGTTAAATAAAATTTTAAAGTAAACATTTCAAATCATTGAAGTTTAGTATTAGACGTTTCAAATATTGAAATAGGTCTTACGCAAGCCTTGTAATATTCATTAAATCATGATCTATCTACAGTTTTGAACTGCTCACTTACAACCTGTCAGAGACATAAGTGGACGTGTCAAATGAAGTCATTAAAATAAAGTCCGCCTGAGTTTGGTTCACTAATAGGCGAACACGGGGCGAAGTGCGGTTCACCGCAGGGGTAAACCCGCATTTCAACGAGGTCCGTAGATATTTCTGACGGGTTGTATCTTTGTTCAATAGAATTAATTGTATGAAGGTTAATTAATTAACAGTCATAATTTAAACATTTACCTCTTTAAAAACTAAAGTCAATATTTTTCTGAATATAAATAAATCCTATTTTCATACTTACATTATATTGAATTAGATCTTCAACTTGCAATACGCACAGAAATTTAGACAGTAGATTACATAGATCTTTGAACACGTCAAAATTCTAATTTGATATCACGAATTATAATTTATAAGAGAAAATTTACAACATTGAACGTTATTCTGTTGTTTAGTATTATATTTAGACGTGCCAAAATTAAATGTAATTTCTAATAATAATGTTTTCTAAAATTATTAACGTTTATATCCATATTGGAATTGACATTTATAAACTTCGTACCTTACACTGTTGTTCATTTTATTTTGGTCAGTAGAATATTATAAAATAATTCCTGTTAAATCATATTTCTGTACTTTAATGCACCTTTCACAGTTCTAGATATGGAGATGAAACGTAATTAGTTAGGGAAGTCAGCAATAAATTTTATACTTCGACTGTGCCTTTCCTATTTCTAATGTATTAGCTTGTGATTAATTGTCAATAGACTTTGAATTTAATGTATACTACATTAGGACATGAAGGGTAGGTGTGTTTGTCACATATAAGTAGCTTATCTTAGGGATACCCATTATCAAAAGTTAAAATTCAAAAAAATTAATAAGCTTCCACTTTGTTTTTTGTTAAGTTTTATTAGCACTTATGCGTTCGGTGCATTTTAAAATTTTCGTGTTTTTATAATATGTATTAAGTCTTCCATTGGTATTTAATTTCTTAATAATTTAAATTCTCTAATACTAGAGAAAACACCGCGTGAAACAGCGTAAAACAATCCATTGCGCCATCTTGTCCCGTGGGATTCGTAACAGTAAACTGAAAATAATGCCAAAACCTTGTGGCTGCCCTATGGCGGAACAAACAATTTCGTTGTACGCCAAAATAGGGGGCAGCATAGAAGGTATAAGAATGTTGTAGTAAATCCCCTGCCCTTTCCCTTACTTCCCTCTAGGGGAAAGGCCAATGAAAGGACTAATGATGTATGTTTATGGAATAACGAAAAAAAAACAATTAGATATATTAATAGTATTACTTAACTTCATTCTGAAAAACTGTGTAAATGAATTGAGTAATGGGAATTTAGTAAATATAAGTATAGTATTTTCGTGATAATTGCAAATTTCGTGATAAAGTTAAATAATTGTTTTTCGGTACTGACTTGTAAAATGTATGAACAATGTTCATTAGTTGAGTGCATCTGTTATATTTAGCGGGTAACGTCTCAAGTTACGAAAGTTACGAAGCTGTTAGGTTGAAAATTAAATCTAAATTTGAACTGGTGTTTTATTTTTTTTAAGACAGAACCCTTTCTATACTATAATTTTTATTATTTTAATAATACATACTGAATTTATAATTTAGAATTAATAAATTTTATACGACGTGGAAGAGCCATGCTGCAGGTAATATTATGGTTGTAGCACGAATCGGTCGGCTTGACCGGTAGAGGACCACCAACGTAAAATAGCTACTCCATGCTTCTGTGTTTCGTATAGTGAGTGTAAAGAACCGTTGACCCTTTTCTCTGGAAACGGGGTATTCCATCTTAGCTCGCAGGGATGACAACGCATCTGCATTTTGATATTTAATCGAGGATAGATGTAGATGTCTATGGACCACAGCATCGACTATCAGGTGGACTGTGTCCTCATCTGTTCCCCTTATTCTATAAAAAAATACGGATATGTTAACGAAAGTTTAGAACTAAATAAAAATAAAATGTAGGCTTAAGGCAAAGAGACAAAATGTCATAGGATCTTATAGATAATTCAACGGTTGCCAGCCCGCCGGGCATGGCCACTACGGCAGATATCCCCCTTATGGATCAACTGTGGCAAGTGTTACGTTTAGCAGTGGACTTCAGTAGGCTGGAATGTATAAATATGTAAATTATCCAGGGTAAAGTTCGCAAATAATTACCAAACTCATTTTAATGTTGTACCCATCTTTGTTTTACTCAACACACGAGAATCAACAAAACTACAATCATGGGCTGGTAGCAGGATAGCGAGTAGGGCACCGCGGAGAGGGCACAGCGTCACTTTTTGATGAACATTTTTATGACACAGGTGGTCTCCTTTTCCGCTTACGAATCCATTTGGATAGGTACCACCATATCTTGTCCATTTCTGCCACAAAGCCTATATAATATATACATTATAATATAATACATTATATTCCGGTTTGAAGGTTTTAGGGGGCGATTTTAATGGTTGTAAGACATCTTAGTCTTCAGAAGTACTAATGCATCTACCTATATCCTTATTTATTGAAATTTCTGACTGATAGTCAGTATACTATAAGTAGACAGTACACTATAAGTTCGTTAATCACTTTAATTTTATAAAATAAAAACTATAGCACACATCACAAAAGACACTAGTGGGGACGATATTTTGAACCGAACAATCTGATGGACCCTCGTAACATGTGATATCGACACATGGTAGTATAAAAGGGCCACCTATACTCACATAAACATCACACGTTTTATTGAGTAGGTGTCATACAATAATCGCCTTAACAGCAAATGATTTGTATCGTCCCACGGCCTCTAAAAGTTCACTATGTGACATTAGTCAACTCTAGTCTAATTTCACATATGGCATGGACTATTATATAGGGTAAATATTTTAACCTTTATAAATATTATATTGTATTTTTAAAGGTTAAAATATTTAGCTCGGGAACTGATGGCTCGGCATAAATTTCATAGTAAGAGAACAAAAGTTCGATCCCCACCGCCGCTAATGAAATTGTTAATTGCTCTATCGCATCCTCGGAGGTGAAGGAAGATATTATGAGGAAAGCTACATGTCTGAGAAATAAAAATATTTCAGTATCATGTGAAAATCATCACGCAATGGAGCAGCACAGCAGACTGCTCAATCTTCTTTATCAGCCAATAAAAGTCCACAGCTGGACATTAACCTCTCCCGTTTTAGAGAGACTTTTTATAGAGCATAAGGATTTTTTTAATAACTGGCTTTACGGCTCTGGGATCTAGCCCTTCTGAGCCTGAAGTTACAATATATTATAATTATCATTCATAGTACACTGCTTCACAATATATTGATGCGTCACATTGTGCAGCCCTTGGGAGATTTCGACGGCAACTTCAGCCAGCATACAGCTGACGGTTGGCGATGATATCTCAAGGCGCCTAAGCAGACAAACACCTTATTTTGAGAATCACATCACCATCAGAGCACTTGTTTCACAGTTTCCACTAATAGTTCACATGCTCAGACACTTAGTACACAAAATCGCACCACTTTTACATATCAAAGTCCACTTTAAACCATTATTTAAACAATAGTACAGGAGCAGCAAACCACCGCTGGTCAAGTTCCCGCCCAAACTCAGAGCATATGGAATACAAACGAACACACAGTCTACCTGATGGCAAGTGAATGCTGTGGCCCACAGAAACCTACACCAACATCTATCCTCGATTAATAATCAAAATGTAGATGCGATGTAACCCCTGAAGGCTAAGATAGAATGTCTCGTTATCGTTAAAAACAGAGGTTCTTTACACCCACCATATACGGCAGCATTGCTATTTTTTACGCTGGTATTCTCTGAGACTGTGGTGCTTTCCTGGTTAAGCTGACCCAAATGTCCTACAACAATAATATAGCTGCAGCGTTGCTCTACCACGTTAAAATATCTCCATTTTTTTATAAGATAAGGGTGACAAACGAGCATACCGTCCATCTGATAGTAAGTGGTTGCTGCGACCCATAGACATCTACATATTTTCTCAATTACGAATCAAAATGTAGATGCTCTATCACCCGTGAGGACTAAGATGTAATGTCTCGAAATTCCATCATCTCCATAACTCTCATTATCTATAAAGAGGAAGAGAAGAGAATATATATAAGAGAAGAGAATGTAAATAAGAAGAGACCTATGCACAACAGTGAAGGTAGGCTGTAGCTTTTTTTGATTTAATAATATTACTGTTAAGCT